TGGTCTGAGCTTTTGAACTGTCGGGTAGGTATTTGTATTTCCTGTCTGCCTGCGCGTTATACTGTGTGGAGTTTGCAGTATAACACCGACGGTTCATCAAACGAGGCCAATTCTGCTAACATCACACGCCGCATTGCCCAGTGCTTAGAGACGTAGGTGCGAACCAAGGGGAGCGTTGCTTCGGCAAATGTGAGCCTTGGGGGATACCCGACATCTTTGTGTTTGCGCATGCCCCTCCTGTCATTGGTCTAACCAGTGGCGGGTTTCCCGTACGTCTATCGACACTTTGTACGGCTCCGTGTTCGGCGGAGGTCTATGCTTGCATAGTCGTGTAAAAACCCTTCTGTTTAAAGGAGTTTTAGGGATACTCTTCCCTCAAAGCGGTAGCTATGTTCTATAACTACCTGCGATTGTAAAGGATCTTAAGTTGCCGGTTAGTATGGACCCGAAAGCTGACAGCGGGTTTCTGGTTTTTCCTAGCTGTCTGTTAGTAGGAGAAAGAAAGCTGGCGATACGAGATTCCTGCCCAAGTAGTGCATGAGCTATGCTCATCGGTCTAAGCCAAAGACCTCGGTCTAAGCCAGAGACCTTTTAAGTTATCCCTGTGGGTTATCTATGATGACCCTGGGCCAACGAGTGGGATTGAATAGGAGTGGTGCCCCTATAGGATCCAAGCTGGTCACGTAAGGTGGGATGTCGTATGCACTACACGCTCCCTTTAAGTGACCAGGTAGCAAGAGTATCCGACTCATCTCAGCATGGCTAGGATAAGCTACGTGACGCACTGTGTGCGTCGGGGTCCGCTGAGATATATATATACATATCAGTCAAATTCTTATTTCATTTTCAATAAAACTTGATTTTATGCTAGTAGCAACAAGCTTTAGATTGGAAATGAAGAACTTTTGTTTTGAATTTCAGTTTTACTGCCTCTGTAGAATAAACTTTGAATTTGCTGATGTTACTAGAAAAAATCTTGCAGAAGGTAATTATGATTAATTTAAACAAAAAAATGAAGCAAACAGAAGCCAACCATTTGATGTCCAATCGCATATTTTTTCTGGTTTGCTTGAAATCAAATCAGCGAAAACTTTTGTACTTGACTTTCAAATAGCAATTTTGAATCGAGAATCAAATCTAAATTTTGCATTTCATTTTTCTTTTTACGTAACGACTCAGACTAAAACAGAATGAGTTTCCCTTTCCCAATTATTATCAATTTTCCGACTAAAAAATTGAAATTTAATTATCAATGCTTCAAAACGAATTGACTCTCCGAAAAAGTATCTAATTTCCTGCGAGAAATTTTTGGTTTTACTGCGCAAACTGTCTTTTGAACACATTTTTGAAACAAGTATCATCATTTACTCAAATATGTAGAAAAACTTTACCGTCAACGCATTAAATAACTTTGACAATCATGCAAACGCCTTGACAGGTGGGAGAAAACTTCACTTCATAAAATGTTAGATGAAGCTGACAAAAATTGCGAAAATCCGCAATCTTGTTGAAATCAATTTTTATCCAGATAAGTTATAGAAACGGGGCAACACGGGAATATCAAAAAAAATCGAACATTTAGAAATAGTTGGTTGATAAATCCTTCCTTGATAAACTTTTTCGATTCAAATTGTAATAATTATCACAAAAGTCTGCGAGATCGACTTTGAGTATGAATACTAAAGCGTTCATAGATAATTCGAGTTTTCAAATTAAATTATAGTCAATCCTCGTTTTATTCCCAGAAAACCTGTGTTGTGGTGATCCTACAATTGAAACCAGCGGACTTTCTGGGAGTCGGTAAAAGAAGCAAATACACAATTGATAATGTACCAGCAAGACCAACTATCAAATCTGATCCAATTTCTCAACCATGAAGGTTTTAAGCAAAATTTTTGTACAGTGTTCAATGTTTTTCTTCATCTTGGCGCAGCTTAAGGGTATAAAAGGGATTTTGACTCGACTTTAGGGGACTGAATTAACCCATAATAAGCGGCTAGTTGGAAATTTTTAGTGATATGAGGAATGAAATCTACGAGAACAGGTGATCGGATACATTAGATTCAAATCAGTTCAGCGAAAGTAAAGGAACAATTGATGCGTCTTTTTTGAAGATAGAAAAAGACATCAATAAGGAGTTGTTGGCTATGAGGAAAAAGACGAAATAAGTGAGATTTTCTGCACAAGGATGAGGTCTATTGGGTGGCAGCCCGCCAGGCTTTATGGGTTGGCGAAGGTGCATAAAGGAAAAACCCCATTAAGACGGGCCCTCTCATTGCCTGGTAGCTCTTATTATAAATTGAACAAAGTTCTTGCAACAATTTTTGAGAAAATTGAGGGCGCAAACATCGAAACCAACTTACTAGATGCGAGAGAAATCTTAGAGAGCACTAATCTTGAGCCCAATGAGAATTTGATATCTGTAGATGTCAAGAGTTTGTATACAAATGTTCCACTGAACGAAGCAATAGACATAGCTCTGAGAAAACTGTATGAGCAAGATGAATCACCATCAATTACTAGAAAAACCATGGAGAGACTGTTGAACATGGCAGTTAGTCAAGTCCATTTCAAGTGCAATGAAACATGGTACGTTTAGAAATCAGAGAGATGGTTTGGCAATTGGGGCATCTCTTGCCGTTATTCTAGCAAATCCTTGGCTAAAGCAGTACAAAACTGCGCTATCAAGGGATATTCCCAAAATGTTTTCGCCCGAAAAAAAAAGATCTTAACGGGATATGTCCCGAGTGCAAAAAGAAAGTCACGTACAGGTCAAAAGGTGTTTAATGTGAATGCTGTTTGAACTTGTATCACGTAAAATGCGGTGATATATCAGATGATGAGTATCGAAATATAAGTGAAACGGTCTGGTACTGTAGAAAATGCATCGCGATAAGAGAAAAAAAGGGCAGTGCAGCAAGCTAAATTATTTTTCCGTTACGTTGATGATATAGTGAGAACAGTGAAGGGTGATCCTGAAAAAGTACTACGGGCTGCAAACTTACTACATCCAAATTTACAGTTGACAATAGAGACACCAAACACAAACGAGAAATTGGTATTTTTGGATTTACAAATTAGTATTGACAAAAGCAAGAAAGTTAACTTAACTGTGGGTGGTATCAAAAACCAACAGATATAGGTACAAAACTAAATTTTAGAAGCTGCGTCCCCCTTCAGTACAAGAGAAGTCTGATTGAAGGAACTGTTCATCGGGTTTTCTGCAGTACGTCAACATGGGAAGAATATGATAAAGCGATGAAAATCAACCGTGAACAGTGGTTGAAAAAACCAATATCCGGAATCTTGGTCGTCGCGGGTTGCATCACATGCCCTTGAAAAGGTCATCAGGGAGGACAAAAACTGAAAGAACATGGCTGAGAAAATGAAGCCTTAAGATTATAGCAGTGATTCTCCACGCATCTTGATGGTCCAATATAGGGGGAATCACAGTCAGACATTAGCAAAAAAAATGCCCGATATCACCAATGCGCAGATAACATTCACGACGAGGAAGATGAAAACTTGTATGCCCTCTCTAAAATCCTCCTTCTCCAGTGAACTGGAATGAAAAGTGATGTACAGACCTGAATGTTGTGGGTGCAAATATATCTATGTTGGCCAGACGGTCCGACAACTCAATACAAGGATTGAGGAACACCGAAAAGAGGATACCCCATTTGAACAGCATTTAAGGCAGTGTGGTAGTGAGAGTGGTAACCGGAGTTTAAATCGAATATAATCGACCAGGCGTCCAGCAGCATCAAGTTACTTACATTAGAGGCGCTGCACATTAGGAAAGAGAGACCGGCAATTAACACGCGCGACGAGTTTAGAAGTAGGGAGCTGACACTAAGGCTATCGTTCCAGAATAAAAAAAATTCTGGCTAAAACAAAAAGTTTTGAAATAACTTACATGTTAGCATGAGAATTAGCGACAAAGCGAAATTGCAAAAACAAAAAAAAAGGTGAAAACTCTAAGAAATTTGTGACAAAATATCTAAAATTTTACATAAAACAGTTGTTACATAATTTCAGTAATATTTGTAAAGTTTCGATTGGTTGAATTTTTTTAAATTTTGAAACAATGATGTGAATGACACTTTTTATGATCTTTGATCATTTTGTACAGATAGTTAAGAATTTTTAAAACCTGAAGATGCACAAAAATGTGCGAAGACGTTTGTTTGAATTTACATTTTTCACGCATTCTCAGAATTTTTTAGATCAACAAAGAGAGTAAAATTAAAAATTTTTAAAATTGAACTACAAAAGTAAAAAGCAAGGAACAATCTCATCCGAGCTAGCAGGTCTAGCGGCACACCAACAGATTACTCAAGCTCCTTTGAGTTTGCTTCTTTTACCCCATAAAACCACAGACAGACCTGTCTCTAAAATTCCTAACATAGTGCGTGACACAGACACAAACATCAAACATAACATATCTATTGTATAACATTATCGCAAAATTTTGCCTTATTTTGGTCAATGAAAATTTTTCATTATATTTTGAAAGACTTATTGTCCAAAATCGACATTGAAAACTAGCTTTTCAGAGAGTGAAACCTGAATTTTCGTTTAATTTTGTTCACGAGTCTAGTTATAACGAAAACGTTCGTATTTAATTATAAATTTTTTGGTAGTTCAATTAAATTTTATTGACAATTATCTAAACAGTATTCGTTTGGTTGATGGCCTAAAAACTTTAGCACAATTGTTTACCCTTAAACTGGCCAAAAATCAGCTGGCTAGGTCAAGTCGGAGAAAAGCCAAAATTTAAGGTGTCTGACGTCTGCCAGTCGTCAATTGGGAGTTTTGCTATTTTCTGTCGCTGTGTAATTTGTTGGCGAACGTTACATTTGTTCCAGGAATTGTTGGTCCTTTTTTGCTGTTTTTGTTGACAAAAGAAGAAATTCTTTCAAAGGTTTTTTGTTTCAATTTTTAATTTGTCTATTCATTTGCTTGTAATCATAGTCACTCATTTTTGTATTAGCCTAATTGTTGTGATAAACTTATTAAATAGTTCTTTGTTCAAATTTACCGCTTGTTTGTTTTCAAATCATATGCGCGCTGGGCTTTCCTCTTCTGGTTATCTTACCAAATCTCGCCGTCCAAGCCGTAGGCGGGTGAAGTTTCCCTTGCGTAACTAGACGCAAGAAGAAGTGAGCTGGTGATTCGACCTCCAAATCGACGTCAGGTTGTACCACTCCTTTCTTTTTTTTCTTTTTTTTCATCGCCTTTGCCTCAGCAATTTTGAACCCAAGGTGAAAATGTTCATAAATCACCCCAAAGAGCTTCCTTTCTCGCCCCAGTTGTCTGTGTTTCAGGTTGATGCCGCGATTCCAGGCAAGACGCATCCATGAGTTCTCATAGAAACTAGTTATCGGGACTTCAAGGACCAAATATATCAAACCAGCTCTAGTAAAATCAAAAATTCACTCCTACCGCGGCGCAACGCTTCATGATCTATTTGAAACAGTTTTAAAATACAGACCAAAGCGCCTAAATACAGTAACAATAGTTGCTGGATACAATGACAACAGGCTGCATTCACAAGAATTAGAATAGCAGTGGAAAAACTTGATTAACCTCGTCACAGCAAGTTTCAGCCCAAGACACTGAGCACCCCCAAAACAATTCAGAACTATAATAATTCCGAAATGAACTGCAAAATTTATATTCATAATCATGTGCTGTTTAATTTGATAAATAGATTTGTACACCCCCATACACTTATTGTTTAGACTAACCTCAACCTAAATCTAACCCCTCAAATGTTCTACCGTGATGGCATACAATTCTCGTTCTACGGTAATGATTTCTTTACAAATTTTCTTGCAAATTTAATCTATAAATTCTCTCGCTAACTTGACACCGCCGTCCTTCCTAAAATGGCTACTCAAACACACTTCCTTATTTGTAAAAGCAGCCTACGAGGCGGAGGTGTTTGGTGCTTCACATGCCCAGGCTACATTCATGTAAAATGCAGCGGCCTAGCCCGCAGCAGTGATCACTACGACGATTTCAGTTGTCATCGCTGCACCTTCCAATTTCATTCAGCTAACGACTAGCATGAATGCAATCCCCCAACCCTAGCTACAACCACGCTCCCCCAAATGCACCCATCCACTGCCCCACACTCACAAAATTAAGGAGAGTCTTCTACTATAGAACCTAGAACAAGACAAGACCCATGGTCAAACCCCTGTCCAGAACTCATAGAACCCACCAGGAAAATATACACCGAAGTGGTCCACTGAAAACCGGTCTTTATGATCTTTGCAAAAAATAAAGTTGGTTATAACTTCATTGAAACCCTCATTAGAACTTTGAACAGCCTAATAGAAAACAACAAAAAATACCTTCGCAATGCACGCAGCAATGATTTTTCCACACTTATTACTGTGCAAAACAAAGTCCGAAATTGACGGATCTTTATCCAAAACAATAACAAGGCGACTTAAGCAATGGCAAGACGGAGACCTGGATGGACTATATAACGAAGGAAAGAAGCTGCAAATGCGCTTGTTGAAAGGAAGTAGAAGAAAAACTGAAACTGAAGCACAACAGTTCAACAAACTAATGAATACTGGAAAAATTTCAAGCGCAATTGCAAAACTAACAGACACATCTAAAGGCGTTCTTTCGCTCGACGAGATTGTCAAAGGTAAGACAGTAGAACCTACTCTCATAGAGAAACACCCACCATCTGAACCAATTGATGAGAACTATATTACACCAGTCTCAAACGAAACCATTCCTTTCCATCCATCGATATTTGATCAGGGAAACGGTCAACATATCAAGAAGGCAGCCATGAGAACGCACGGATCGCATGGACCATCTGACCTCGATGCAAATGAATGGAGACGTATTTCAACACACTTCGGGCAACAATCAGTTGAAATTTCAAAAACAATTGCTAAAATTGCCAAAAAATTGGCCACAGAAGAACTAAATCCAGAACTAATTGAACCATATAACGCATGCAGATTAATACCCTTAGATAAGAATCCAGGGGTAAGACCCATAGGCATAGGAGAAGTTATGCGTAGGATAATAGGGCCAACAATAACTAAATGCCTAAAAAACGAACTCATGTCGCTCGGTTCAAACTACCAACTCTGCCTAGGACAAAAATGTGGCATTGAATATGCGGTCCACACGCCAAGAGATCAATACAGCAAAACTTCCGCCGATGCTATTTTACTGATAGATGCCGAAAACGCTTTCAACTCGCTGAACCGAAAACTGGCTTAGAAAACATCAAAAATACCTGCCCTTCCCTTTTAACAGCAATTAAAAACTCATACTCCAATCCATCTAAACTATTCGTTAACAAAAAAAAACAATCTACTCTTAAGAAGGGACAACCCAGGGGGATCCACTAACAATGGCCATGTACGGTCTAGCCATAATACCCCTCATAAAACTTTTATCAGTAGACGATGTAACCCAGAAATGGTACGCAGACGTCGGAAATGCAGTCGGTAAATTAAGCAATCTACGAACCCTCCTTGATAAAATTGTATCACTGGTTAAATTTTTTGGCTACCACGTGAAAGCATCCAAATCCCAACTCATTGTCAAGGATGAAAAACTCGGTGAAGCTCAGAAAATTTTCGCTCTATAAAGGCAGGAGCCCGAGTGCTTGGTTCAGTTATAGGAACAGAATCTGAATGTAAAAAATTTCTCGAATTTCAACAGAACGAGCAAATCAAAAATTTGAAAAAACTAACAAAAATCGCTAAAACCTCCCCTCAAAACATTTTTGCCTGCTATACTAAGGGAATTCAAGAAAAGCTTTCATTTCTTGCCAGGACAACGCCGAACACTATGGAAAACTTAGAAATGTGTGAAAATATTATCAAAGAAAAATTATTACCTAACCTAGTCGGTAAAGACACTTTAAACCCCCAGTTCCGTGAGATATTTTCCTTACCCCTTAAAATGGGCGGACTTAACATCAAGCTGCCATCCGATCATGAAAGCTACCTAGAATGGTCTAAGGAAACACCACTAGTACTGGAATCTCAAGATCCTATTACAGCAGTAACACAGCAAGAAAATGTACGAAAATCAAAAAATCTCAATTAACAAATCAAAATCAAACCTCATTAACTCCTTAAATGAAACAGATAAATACGCAATCGACCTGGCCTCTGAAAAGGGAGCCTCTAACGGGCTCAATGCTCTACCACTGAGCAGATACAACTTCAACCTGAATAAATCAGAGTTCAGGGATGGTATTTAATTAATTTTGAGAATGCGTTAAAATTGTAAATTCAAACAAACGTTTTTGGCACATTTTGTGCATCTTCAGGTTTTAAAAATTCTAAGCTATCTGTACAATATGATCAAAGATCATAAAAGTGTCACACGCATCATTACTTCAAAATTTTAAAAATTCAACCAATCAAACCCTTACAAATATCACTGAAATTATGTAACAACCATTATGTAACATTTTAAAACATTTTGTCACAAATTTTTGAGAGTTTTCTTCATTTTTATTTTCACATTTTCGTTTTGTGGCTAATTTTTATGATAACATGTAAGTTGTTTCAAAATTTTGTTGTTTTAGCCAAAATTTTTCGGTTCTGGAATTATAGCCTTAGTGTCAGCTCCCTACTTCTAAACTCGTCGCGCATGTTAATTGCCGGTCTCTCTTTCCTAATGTGCAGCGCCTCTAATGTAAGTAACTTGATGCTGCTGGACGCCTGGTCGATTATTTTCCAATTAAACTCAGACCTACCACGCTCACTGCCACACTGCCTTATATGCTGTCCAACTGGGTATCCTCTTTTCGGTGTTCCTCAATCCTTGTGGTGAGATATGGAACCGTCTGGCCAACATAGATGGATTTGCACCCACAACATTCAAGTCTGTACACCACTTTTGATTTCAGTTCACTGGAAAAGGAGGATTTTAGAGAGGGCATACAAGTTTTCAATTTCCTCGTCGTGAATATTATCAGCGCATTGGTGATATCGCGCACTTTTTTTGCTAATGTCTGACTGTGATTCCCCCTATATTGGACCATCAAGATGGCTGGTGAATCACTGCTATAATCACAGGGCTTCTTTTTCTCAGCCATGTTCTTTTTGTTTTTGCCCTCGCTGATGATCTTTTCAAGGGCATGGGTGTGCCAGTCGGTCATATCTGGAAGTTTGACCTTGAGGGACACAAAAATACGTAATTTTGGAGTGAAGTTTTAATTTTCAAAATTTCGAATGGAGCCTGTCATGCTCAGTTTTCTCGCACCAACTGAAAACACAAAGTGAAAATCAGAACGACTGAATTTACAATTGCGGGAAAATACTTAAGAAAACAGCAGGAAATTGCTATTCGCAGTTTCCAGATACAAAGTAAGACACGAGTAGAGCTGTCTTATCCCGAAATACGAGGAGAGATAATAAAAAGAAGAGAGGACAACTATTCGAAACGAACCAGAGTGAACCTTCAATGGAAAGGTGGACAGCTTAAGTGTCCCAATGGTTCATACAAAAACTCCAATTCTAGAGTCAAAATTTACTTCTGTTATCAAAACTGATCAGTATTAAATTTATCTAGTTATATTATCTAATTCTTGAGTTGCTTATCAATCTAATTACTCCTTGTACTCGAGTGCATCAGCATGTGAGTCCCTAATTTAATTTTCTCGAGTTTGTTTTATGATTGTTATGTTGAGATAAGGCGAGTTTTAGGTTGATCCATCTGAAATGGATCAAAGTTCCACTGTCCAATAAAAAGTAACTTAACGGATTGTTCCGACCCTGTTTTTAACGGCGTTCGTGTATTTTGGGTATTTTGAGACCTAAGTATGGGGACGTTCTTATTTTCTAGAGTGGGGGGATATTTTGGTAGTAGCCTTTAAGCTGTAACGGGTTCTAGTCTCATGTCGCAAGTAAACCGAATTGGCTCCGACCGTTTTGAGGTAGAAAAACACAAGAGATGGTGTCCCTGACTCTTGAGCCAATGGTTATAGGGCCTATTTTTCTTAAGCCTCATATGTGACCGA